GGGCCCTGCTGGCTCACTTTAGAGACCGGCGCCTTCAGACATGCTTTTGAGAAGATGCGCTCCAGCCGCACCTGGCAATCATCCTGGCCGGCGGCATGGAGCCGGTAGCGTCCAGGGAGGGAGCCAGAGGACGCTGAGGCGGGCGCAGCCGGGCTGCCCCCGGGCTGACCCCGGGCTGCCCCTGGGGCAGGCTGGGCGGAGGGCAGAGGCCAGGCTCCGGGACCTGGGTGGGTCTGCGCTTGTATGTGGACACCACCCTGGGCAGCGCGGGGGGCTGCGTCCCTGCAGGTCAGGCCCTGGGCGGCCGGGGCACTGCCTGAGCTCCCAGCGAAGGCTTTAGACCGGGCAGCTGGGCATGGCGGTCCCGCTGGGCATGGCGGTCCCACTGGGCATGGCGGTCTGCTTCCCAGGCTGGGTCCGGCAGGCCACCTCCGTCCTCTGGGTCAGTGCTCCCCGGCTAAAGTAGGCTGGGTTGGGAGAAGAGCGGCCTGCTGGGGCCCCCCAGGCTGTGCCTGGTTGCTTGGCTCCTTCTGAAGTTCTAGAAGGTTCCTGCTGACAGGAAGATGTTGGCCTTGGGGGTCTGGGGCTAGGTGGGCGGAGACGGGGAGGCTTGGGGGAGCGGTCAGCCCTGCTGCCACGCACCTTCTCCACCGCCGGTGCTGTCACAGAGACCCCGAGGCTGCTGTCCAGGCATGACCCCGTCGTCCCCAGAAGGGGACAAATGAGGACCGGCTCTGGCGGGGGGAGGAAGGCCGTTGCGCCCGCCCGCCCCGGTCCCTGGGCATCTGGCCAGGAGAACACGATCCCGACACTAGAAAGAGAACGTGATTTAATCTGGGCTTTGTGAGGAACAGAAACATTGCATTTTAAGCCAGGGGCATTTTTGCTGACTTTCCGCTGTTCGGAGGAGATGGAGGGGTGCTGCTCCCCCGGAGACCAGCATGGGGGTCCCCCCCCCGGCATCTCTCCTGTCTCGCCGTGTCCCGGGGCCCCGCCGAGACGGCTCCTGTCTGTCGGCCTGCCAGCCGCTCTGCAGACCCGGGACCCAGGGCGGGTGGGTGGGCGGCACAGCAGGCCTGGCCGTGAGGCCCCTCCCCGGAGCAGGGCGGGGTGGGGGTAAGTTAGTCTTTTCTGAACCCTGCAACTTTTTGTAAAAATGTTTATTTGTTTATTTATGCATACGGAACTGGGGTGCGGGCTTCAGCCGGCTGCCCCCCAGGGAGCTGTGGCCTTTGCGCTGTTAAAGAAACCGCACGCTAGCAGTTTGCGCTCAGGGCCTGGCTCCTCAGGGGCACGCCGAGCAGTCTGCTCAGCTGCGGCGGGTGGGCGGGGTGCCGGCCCCCCTGGGGTGCCCGGGCTGCTTCGGAGCCTCGAGATGCCCCAGGCCGCAGAGGGAGGACGCGCCTGTGCGGTGCGGGCCTGGGCCGGGGCAGTGCTCGTCCCTCCCGTCGGCCGCGGGCGCGCCATCACCTTCCCCAGGGGTGGCTGTGCTGATGAGCCAGAGGCGACTCGGGCCTGGTGCGGTACCGGCTGCCACTCCAGGCTTGTTTGAAGCACCGGTTGTGTGCTGTGAGGAGCCCCACTTTCTAGGAGGGCTTGATAATCTGGGGCCCCCTGGAGGAATGTGAGTGCCGGAGGGCCCACTGGCATGTCAGGGCACCCCACGCACCTGGTGGCCGGCTCAGGCCTGGCCAGGCCGGCTCAGGGGCCTGGAGGGGCGGCAGGCGGCTTGCTGGCTGACAGTGCGCAGCCCAGGCCTGGGCGAGCTGTCTGGTGTGGGCAGCTCCGGCGAGCCTGCTGGAGGGTGGCTGGGACTCCAGGCCCCCCCCTGCGGTATGCTCTGTGCTCCCCAGAACAGAGCAGGGTGCTAGCCCCGGCCCCTGCACCCCTCAGTGCGTGGGCCGCGGGGGGCTGAGTCTCACCTGGTGGCGCAGCTGCCGGGAGGGGTCGCCTGAGTGTCACCGGTGCCTGTGAAAAGCAAGCCTCTTCTCGGGGGGCAGGGCTCTGCACCCCAAGCCGCCCACGCGACTGACGCAGCTCCCGCTGAGTGTGGGCAATGCTGGGAGTGGGGCCGCGGGAGGCGCCGGCTGCGCTGAATCTGAGGGCCCCAGCAAGGGGCCAGCCCCCCTGACCCCGCTGACCCGGCCTCCCTCTGTCCAGGACCCCGAGGCATGGTGGTTTCTGAGGACAAGCAGAGCCCCACAAGCCTGGTGAGCGCGGCGGAGCTGGCGGCGGCCGCGGGCGGACGGGCGTGAACCTGGGCCCTGGCGTCTCACCCCAGAGCAGGCAGCATGTCGAAGAAGAGCCGGAGCAAGGGCGAGAAGCCCGAGATGGAGACGGACCCGGTGCAGATGGCCAACGAGGAGCTGCGGGCCAAGCTGACCAGCATCCAGGTCGAGTTCCAGCAGGAGAAGAGCAAGGTGAGCACTGGGCTCCCTGGGGCTGCCCGGGCTGGCGGGCGGGCGGCCGGGCGGGCGTGGTGGACGCTCCGAGCCTCAGCTTGACCCTCCCAAAGTGGGTGTCCCATCAGCGGGGCGCCCCGGGTGCAGCCCAGTGGCCCTGGGACCTTGGCCAGCTACTTAGTCAGTGCTGTGGTTTCCCTCCCGTGGCGGGGCCGGGTTGAGGGCCTCTGAGTCTTTGCTCGAGGCGACCCCAGCGGCGAGGGGAGAGTGTGTTTCTCTGGGAGTGGGCTCTTGTGGGTGGCCAGCGGCCCCTGCCGGAGGCCTGGGCCGGGCGCCTGCACTGTGGCTTGCACCTGGGCCCCTGGGATGGGCCTGGGCTTTGCAGGGGGCCAGGCAGGGGCTGGCGGGCAGTTACAGGGCAGGTGACCGCAGCTTCTCCCCCGCATGCCTGGCTTCACGCCTGTCTGTGCCTGGACCACCTCACAACCTGGGCCAAGTGCACTGGGCCTCACACACCTGAGTTCTCAGCTGTACAGTGGCCTGAGGGATCCCAGCCTGGGCCGCCCCAGGCCCTCCCTGCCCCGCCGGGAGCCCATCTGCCCGCTCAGGGCTCTGCCTGCCTCACTGTTGCGGAGGGCGGGGAGATTTCATTCTCAGGGAATTCAGTAAAACGCTTCTTGGCTGGTGTGAAAATCTAATAGAAACTTTGCGGGTGCATGTAAGTGTTATTTAAGTGACCTGAGCTCACACTAACTGTCTCATTTCAAGGAGCGCTGTTTCAGCAAAGGGTCCCCAGTGAGCGCCAGGGCTGGGGGCAAACGGCGTCCCCACCCCCACGCTGGTGCCACGAGGCCCCCTCTGCTGACCACCGCTGTCCTGCCTGGGAGCTAGTCTGGCGCTCCCGGGCTGCCCTGCCCAGGTCCCTGCGGCCCCCAACCTGGGGCCACGCTCCCCTCCCCCCCGGACTCTCTAGGGGCTGCAAGTGACACTCTCCGTTCAGGAGGGGAAGAGAAAGCTCTGGAAGGCTGTATCATCGGGGTGCTTCAGAAACATCCCCTGGCTACATCTGTCTGTCCGTCTGTGTATCCATCTACCTGTCTGTCCAACCAACCACCCATCCGCCTGTCCGTCCGTCCGTCCATCCATGCACCCATTATCTGTCTATCATCTGTCTCTGTCGAGGTGGGAGGAGGGCGGAGCCGCGGCTCGTGACTGAGGGCTGACACATCTGAGGTCTGCGAGCGGCGGCTGGAAGCTCCCGGGCGGGTCTGCCGTGCAGTCTGCCCGGAGAAGGGTCCCTTCCCACTGCGGGCTAAGGCCTTTCCTGAGCGTCGCCTTCCTCGCTAGACACCTCAGGAAAAATACCTGCACAGCCACACCTGGACTCCTGGAGCGTGGCCGAACCAGGCCTGCGTCTGGACTGCCTGGCCTGGTGCGCTGCAGCCGCTGGCCCCGAGGACGGCTGGCCCGGGGCACGCATTGCGCTCGGCCTGCGGACAGGCAAACTGGGTCCACCCTGACTCCAAGTCACCATCAATGCCACGGAACGTGGGGTGCTGCTGCTCCCAGAAAAGGGGGTGCCAGAGTGTTTAGCTTCACTGGCGAAGTCCTGTCAAGTATTCAAGCTCTGGCTTCCTGGCATTTAATGCCCTCATCCAGCCCGTGGGCCAGCAGGCGGAGGCCGGCTGCTCGCTTTGATTTTTACCATTACAATCTCTCTACTGATGCCACAAGGGAAGCAAATTCTTGCTTGGCAAGAAGGTGTGGTGTTTTCTTACAAAGCTATACAGTAACTCCTCTTGGCCAGACAGCAATGGCCTTACGCTGTCCGCATCAGATTACCCAGGAAAAAATCATGTTGCATGTTTCAGGCAATACAGTCACCAATCTTGAACTACGGAAGCGAAGTAGTGTACATTTTGATCGACGGCTTCTTTAAACTTTATTTTAGTATTATTTTTAAAGATTTAGTTATTTTTTCGTTTACGCAGGCATACAAGACCTGGGGGGCAGGCCAGCTGTGGGGGTGAGGAGTCCCGTGACCGAGTAGGGGGCAGCAGGCACACCTGTGAATGCCCCGCAGGGGGCAGCAGTGAGCAGGGTTCCGCTCACCTTACTTGTGCGACCTCGGTGTTTGCCACCCAGAGGCTTCGTGTGTCTTGCGCTTTCACCGGCTTCTTTCCTTGCTGCTGTAAATGAGGGTTTATGCTCGGCGCTGGTCCCCACCGGGGCTGCGCTTCCACGCCCTGCGCTGCACCGTGTGGCCAGGGTGGGCGTTTCCTGCGGGAGCCGCTGGACGGTGAGCGCCGCCTGTCTCGGTTCTGGAGACGGGTGTTTGGGCGGCCTGGACAGGGCTGCTTCCCGTGAAATCTGTACCGAGGGACACTCGAAGTGAAAAGGGCGAATAGCGCGCCTTGGAGTGGCCTAAGCAAATACTCCCGTCACACACTGCAAACACATGGCGAGCTGCTTGCTGGCTAGGGGAAGGCACTGGGCAGCCGGCACCTGGTGCGCGGAACCCGGTCCCTCTGGTGTCGGGGCAGCCTCCGCCCCTAGGCAAAGCAGCCACCCTCGTCTGGGGCTGCCACAGGTTAATGTGGGGGTGCACTGAGCCCCTGCCCAGTGGCGTCCCAGCTCAACAGTGATGACCCCTCCCTCCGTTCCCGAAGCCCACGTGTAGGCACCGGAAACATATATCTGGCTTTAAGAGTGTTGGGCTTTGGTGAGAGATGATTTTCGCGGCGCGTTTTGCGGCCAATGAGTGGCCCTTCCTCATCAGTCTCCAGCTGCAGGGGACAGCAGACTCCCCGCCTCCCCAGGGCCTCCAGATGTTTCCCGCCGGTGGCAAAAATCCCCAGAAGAGCGGACTTACTGTGGGTGGGGCTGTGGGGTCAGGGCTGGGGCGTGGTGGAGCGGGCAGGGGACCTGGGGCCGTCTCAGGGCCGTGAGGGAAGGTGGCGGGCTCCCGACCCTGCTCCCCGACCCTGCCACTGTCGCCCACAGGTGGGCAAGCTGCGCGAGCGGCTGCAGGAGACCAAGCTGGAGCGCGAGCAGGAGCAGCGGAGGCACACGGCCTACATCTCGGAGCTCAAGGCCAAGCTGCACGAGGAGAAGACCAAAGAGCTGCAGGCGCTTCGCGAGGCGCTCATCCGGCAGCACGAGCAGGAGGCGGCGCGCACGGCCAAGATCAAGGAGGGCGAGCTGCAGCGGCTGCAGGCCACGCTGAACGTGCTGCGCGACGGCGCGGCCGACAAGGTCAAGACTGCGCTGCTGACCGAGGCGCGCGAGGAGGCGCGCAGGACCTTCGACGGCGAGCGCCTGCGCCTGCAGCAGGAGATCCTGGAGCTCAAGGCGGCGCGCAAGCAGGCCGAGGAGGCGCTCAGCAACTGCATGCAGGCCGACAAGACCAAGGCGGCCGACCTGCGCGCCGCCTACCAGGCGCACCAGGACGAGGTGCACCGCATCAAGCGCGAGTGCGAGCGCGACATCCGCCGGCTGGTAGGTGCCGCCGCCCCCACCCCGCGCGCCCTGGCCCCGCAGCGCGCATGCGCAGCGAGCTCGAGGGGGCGCGCCCCGTGTTCCAGCCGGCTACCCAGGACCTGCGGGCCGCAGTCTCTGCTTGAGGCGCGGTGAGGCGGCTTGGGGCCGGCGTCCAGTCTCCGCTCAGCAGGTGTCTCACCCTGGGCGCACTGCCACCTGTATGCAAACGAGGTCTGAACTTGAGCAGGGCCTTCGTGAGAAGGGGGGAAAGGAAGGGCACTTGCTTATTCGTGAAGCTATCTCTGGGCAGACTCCCCCGCACCCTCGGGGGCCGCAGGTCAGGAAGGCCGGCTCAGTCCCCGGCTGTGTGCTCTCATCGCCTTCCGGCGCACGAAACTGGCTTTGCCAGCTGTCGGCTGCTGCTCGTTTGGGGACGCTGGGGGCGCTGGGCTGTTTGTTCATCCATGTTGCTAGTCCGTGCTGGGCCGCGTAGTCACCTGATGGGCACATCCCTGTGGCCTCTGAGGGGGCCTCCCTGCCGCAAGTGATGGTGACTGAACTGCCTTTCCATGCGGTCAAGGGGTCAAGGCTCCGAAGTGGTCGTGCCCCCGAAGACCCCCGTACTGTGCGCGGGGCCCTGGGTAGGGTCGTGGCACGTTTTGCTGCTATTCTGTCTCTCGAGCTGCGAACGACACAAGTTCCTCTCTGTGTCCGCTGCCCAGCCCCGTGGAGCCCGGAGGAGAAGGCCTGGACGTGGGGAAGGGAGGACCACGGCGAGTGCGGGTCGGGTCCCGGGACCACTGTAGAGCCCTTTCCTATTCTCTCTGCATATTTTCATTTGCAGAAAGTGGCTCTTGCCGGCGATCTCATCTGGCGGGAGGGGAAGCCGGGTGGGGCAGACGGCGGCTTGAGAGCAGAGCAGGTCCTAGTGTGTATGGATCGACAGGAGGGGCTAGCCACGCCCCCTTCAGACCTGGCTTCTGATTGGGTCATGTAATCACCTCCACGCCAATTAGGGGCAGGGGGAGGGCACATGGGATGGCATGAGCCAATCAGGGCCTGCCCTGGGAAGGCGAGATGGTTTCAACACAAGTTGGCGCTGGGAATGTGGGAGAAGGGGAAGTGGACGCAGGGAGGAAGCTGGAGTGTCCCACACCGTGATGCTGGGGCAGCTCTGTCAGAGAGGTGCTGCTTCCTCAGTGATCTCACGGCAGGGCCTGGATGGCTAAGGCTTAAAGGATGCGCAGGTCGTGATGGTGCTGCCCTTGACTGTGCCTTTGGCAAATCTCCTGCCGGTGGGACTCAGGACTCTGGCTGGGGACATGTAACAACCTAGGCAATGCTGGCTCTGGAGTTTATTTTGCAGTGTCCTTCCATTGCTGAGGCCCACTCCCCCCCACCCCCCCGGAACTCCCCTCTGCAGTGGAGGCTGTCTGGGAGCCTTTTCATGTGACAGGGTGAAGCCCGATGCTCACTTACTAGAAGGGGGGCCCATGCTGTTCTAGGCTGAGAATTTGGGGTCTGGAATGCTTTGCTTCTGTGGTGCGGCTTTGTGTGTGGAGGGGAGTGGTTACTGTGTGGGGCAGGTGTGGGGCCAGTTCTGGGCTCCAGTGAAAAGCAAGCACGCATGGCTGGCTGCTGAGGGGCGCAAGCCGGAGCCCCACCTGCTACCTCGCACTGCTCCTCCCAGCAGCACTAGTCTTCCTGCTCGTGGGGAGCTGACGCGTTCCCACGGGCACCCGCTACGCCCCCTAGGGCGGAAGCTCTGGGGTGGGGCCCTACTGGCACCGCTTGGTTCTGTGCTGCCCAGTCACGGAGCACTGCATGGTCGCTGGCCTCTGCACTGCAAGTGTCTCCCACAGCTTAGGGTCTTTCCTCCAGCGAGGGGACGCTCCTGCTCCTTCAGGCCAAAGCCAGGGCGCTGCGCTGGATCGTCACCAGGGGGCACAGCGGGCGCGTTCTGAGCTGTGCCTGTACCTGGCAGGCACGGGCCTCCAGAGACGGGCGGGGGCCTGGGGGTGCAGGGAAGGAGAGCCCTCTTTGGCCTCGCAAAAAAAGGCAACCTGAAGAGCTAGGCAGGGCCGTAGGACTCTGTTGGGCCTCCGCCCCGCCCCACCTCCTCCAGGCCGTCATGTTTTGTCGGTTTCTGAGGGGTCTGCAGTGGACTTCCGGGAACTTACACAGGTGAGTGGTGACAGCTGGCGTCGATCCAGGCCCTGCCAGGCCCTGCGCTGGGTGCTTCGGTGGTGGGTTTGAGTCTCCCCACGGTGGACAGGGTGCTCCGGGTGTCTCTCAGTCAGGGACTGGGCTCAGTGGGCGAGGGCCCCCTGGGTCACATGGGCGGCCTCAGACGGCGTCGCAGGGTCCTGTGGCAGCGGCTGTGTCTGTTTTGGTGCCAATGAGAAGAGTCACAGGTTCAGGTCACTTCATCCCCCGGTGCGGGTGCGGGATGAGCAGGGGGTTTCTCGGGCCGTGACAGAAGCGCCGAGCGGGTGGCCCGGCAGCGGGGTTGTCACCCCTGTCTGGAGGCTGGGCCTGTGCTCGGGGCAGGACCACGGTCGCGGCTGGCTGGCGCCGCCATCCTGGGGCTCCGGGTCCTTCCCTGCGTCCGCAGCCTTGGGGTGGCCGGTAGTCCCCGGGGTCCGTGGCGCCCACACCCAGGGTCTAGTCGGACTTGCCGCACCCCCGCGTGACCTCCCTGTGTGCCGTGACCCCTCGGAGTCAGCTGCCCACTCCATGTGGCCTCACCTCAGCTACTTGTGTCCGCAGCAACCCCATTTCTCACGGACCCCGTGCTCGGGCCTCGGCGAGCGGGAGGGGGCCGACTGTGCAGCCCAGACAGCGTCCCCGAGGGCAGTTTCCAGCTGTTGCTCAGGGTCCAGAAATAGCTGACACGTGTGGTCTGAGTGGGGAGCGTCTCGCGGGGGACCCCCTTGTGCTTGGTTTCCTCTAAGAAATGCTGGAGGACACTGGGCTGGGGCAGCTGGGGCTTGAGTGAGGTTGGCACATGCAAGGCTGAGAGCGTCTGGCATTCAGAAGATGCCAAGCAACCAGGGGTCGTGTGATTTGGGGGTCCTGAGGAGTCAGGGCTGGGGGAAGGGCTGACAGGGTAGTTGATCTCATGGGTGGAGACGTGGCCGCCGGGGAAGGGTGCGGACCGTGCAGGAGGCCAGTCTGGGGATGCCCAGACTTGGTGGCAGCCGGAGCGGGGAGGCCTGCCGAGGGCGAGCTGAGGCCGCGTGATGGGGGCGGGGCAGCGGGAGAGGCTCTCCTGAAGCAGGAAGGGCCTGTGAGGGTCCAATGTGCAGGGTGTCAACGCGCGATGCAGCCTTAGCCAGAGCCCACTGTCACCAGGTAAGCAGAGGCGTGGAGGGCGGGCCTGGGGGTCAGAACGTCAAGGGGAAAGAAACAAGCACAGACACAGCTCTCTGCCCTCGACGCTCGGGGCCTGGGCGGCAATGCCGCATCCGTGGCCTGTGTGTGCGGCACTCAGCTGTCCGGGACCCAGGGACAGCGGCCTGTCTGTGCACCTAAGAGCCCACGCAGAGCAGCGTGGTCCCTGGCCAGGGGCCCGGAGGTCGATGGCTCGCTCTTCCTCTTTCAGATGGACGAGATCAAAGGGAAGGACCGTGTGATCCTGGCCTTGGAGAAGGAGCTCGGCGTTCAGACGGGTCAGGCCCAGAAGCTGCTTCTCCAGAAGGAGGCTCTGGACGAGCAGCTGGTCCAGGTCAAGGAGGCCGAGCGGTACCACAGCAGTCCAAAGAAAGAGCTCCCGCCTGGCATAGGGGACATGGCGGAGCTGATGGGGGGCCAGGTGAGGGCCAGCGGCTCAGGCCGGCATCGGGGCCTCCGGGCGGACCTCTGGCCACCCTTCCCGCTGTGGCCGGCTCACCGCCTTCCTCCTGCTCTCCTCTCCCTCGCTCTCGCCCCTCCTCCCCAATCTGCGTTTGACCCTACTGCTACAACATCCGGAGCTGGTGGTCCTGGCGGTCACTTAACGAGATAGAAACGAAGCTATCAGTGCAGCGTAGAGTAAACCCAGGGCGCTGCTCCCGGGCCAGGCGAGACTTAGACTCAAAGCCCGGCAAGATGATTAGGGGTTGAGCCAACAGAAGAGGGCACTTTGGGCGACTCTTCAGTATTGGCAGGACCGGAGGTGGCCAGAGCTGACCCGCTCACTCCTTCCTTCCTTCCCCAGCAGCGGAGTCTCTGCTGTGTGCAGGCACTTCGAGGAGCTGGTGGGCCACGGCCTGTTGGCGGGCGAGGGCACGCGTGGCCGATGTGCGCAGAAGTGCCCCAGGCTTTGGGAAAGGAGCCAAGAGCCTCAAGGCTCAGATTCGCGTCCCCGGCAGCTGGGGCAGCGATTGGGCTGTGCCGCAGTTTGGGGGTGCAACTTAGAACATGAATCCCGCTGGCCCGGAAGGGCTGGGACAGGGCAGCCTGGGCCTGGCAGGCCCCTGGGAGGAGGGGCCGGAGGGGCCAGCAAGGTCCCTGAGGGCATGGCTCCTGCTGGCGTGAGCCGGGGCCAGCTGCTGGGGTCGTGGGCCACGCACGGGGGCTGGACCCAGGCTGTTCGGCTTTATCTGGAGAAGCGGAGTCGCTCGGGATGAGCGTCTGTCCTGGTGTGACAGCGGGACACCACGGGTCGTCTGGTTCCACCGGACGGGCTGAAAGCAGGACGCGGGTGGCCCGGTTAGTAGCTGGGGCGCAGGCCCGAGCACGGTTCCAGGCGCTGGCTCTGGTTCCACGCCCACCCCGGAGGGTGTCGGGGCACGTCCCGGGGCCACGGGTGACATGCTGGGCTTCCTCAGAGAGGGCGGCGCCCCCAGAGCCCGCCTCCGGGGGTGTGGGAGGCTCGACGCCTCGTCGCTCTTGAGGTGAAGCTGCAGGTCGCTGGCTGGGCTTGGGGTGCTGCCCGAGCCGCCTGGGCTTGGGGGGCCACGGCAGAGTGCTGTCCCCTGCGTGCCACGCGTGTTCTCAGAGGGCTGGTGAGTGCTGTGAGTCGCCGCAGCTTCTTCCAAGCGCGTTTGTATTTTAACTCTTTTTTAGGATCAACATTTGGATGAGCGAGATGTGAGGCGATTTCAGCTGAAAATTGCTGAACTGAATTCGGTCATACGGAAGCTGGAAGACAGAAATACCCTCCTGGCAGACGAGAGGAGTGAACTGGTAATGAGCCCCCGCGCCAGACGGTGCTGGTGGCGGGCGGAGCGGCCTGGCGTGCGGCCCCGAGCAGAGGTCACGGCGGCCTCGGTCCCGGCTGCCTCTGCCCCGGGCCTTCCCGTGCAGTCTCGCTCGCCTCCCTGGAGAGCCTGGTCAGGAAGTGGCTGCAGACGCCCAGGAGAAGGGCAGAGAGGACCTTCGCTGTGGTTCTGTGCATGACCAGCACCAAACCCCCAGTTTTAAGTGCTGGTCCTAGTGTTCTGGTCCAGGCAGACCATGAATCGTGTGCCGTCGCGAGGGAAGATGCTATCGAGCATGTTTTTTTTTTTAAGATTTATTTATTGATGCATACAGAACTGGGGTGCAGGCCTGAGGTGCAGGGGCAGTGAGAGGACTCCCCAGAGACAGAGCGGGGAGCAGGACAGGCTGACTGACGAAGCACACTGCTGAGGAGAGCAGCGGGCGGGTCAGGAGAGGTCTGCTGTGTCCTGGGGGTCACCTCCGGGGCGGGGGTCGAACTCGCACTGAAGCAGCTGTGGCCGGCTTGAAGTGCTGCGTCCTCACTCGCTGCGCCACCAGGGAGGACCGAGCATGTTTAATTTTTAACTGTGAAAATGATCAAACAGTTTACAGGACAGAAATACCTACTCATCATTCTGGAGTTTGGAAGTTTTGGGTGCTTTTAATGTTTTGTGTATCTATTTTCTCTCCATAATTTTTTGTTAAAGATTTATTTATTTGTGCATACAGAACTGGGGTACAAGCCAGAGGTGTGGTGGGTGAGAGGATTCACCAGAGACAGAGCAGGCAGATCATCGAAGTCCACTGCTGAGGGGGCAGCGGGCGGGTCAGGAGAGGTCTGCC